ACTGGATTAACACCTTTGATGGAGGCTGCCAGTGGAGGGTACGTAGAGGTAGGACGTGTGCTGTTGGACAAGGGCGCAGATGTCAATGCTCCACCCGTACCTTCTTCTCGAGACACGGCACTTACCATTGCTGCAGATAAAGGCCATTATAAATTTGTAGAACTACTTATCCAACGGTAAGTATTCGTACTAAATAAGGCAGTGTTAATTTATTCCATACCCAGTTATGCAGTTTACAGATTTCAGTGCATGGGTATACTGTATTAAGAAATGTACGTGTTTTCTTTAGTCGGAGGAAAAATAAGGGGAATATACCAGAGTATAGCGGTACCAGTTTGTATGTATGGATGTGAAGCATGGGTTTTGAAAGTTGCAATAAGCAGGAGGGTAGAGGCAATGGCACATTCAAGAGCAACATGTGTTTTAATTATTATTCAGAGAATTTGAAGTGTAGAAATTAGAAGATGGTGTGGGGTCAAGGGCTGAGAAGGGGCTGTTGAAAGGAAAGTGGAGAAGAATCCTTTTTCTGTAAGCCATATATAAGAGATGATTAAAATGCTTTGAGCAAGGGGCTAGTAACCCCTTCTCCTGTATAAATTACTGAAGATAAATAGATGTGCAGCTTCTCAGACACAAGCTTACTCTTACCACATTCCTGTTTAACACTTGTACACTCCACAGTCACTACAGTCTTCCATTTCCACATCACTATCCTTTGCATGCATTTACCCACACCACATCCCTTCATTCCACACACTCGGGTACTTATTACGCTCACCACAACTCTTCCTGCACTACAGCCTAGACCCACAGTTACTTTTTCTACAAACTTCCAGCACCACTTGTCCATGCACCTAATACCCTCACTATAACAGTGAGAGGGTAGAGAACATGTATAAAGTGCTGGATCAGATATGATGTTGCCTGTGCCTGTACTTCTCTTAATGCAAACCACCCTAAACACACTTCTCCCTCAGTCTTACCCATCCTCCTAGTCAGCATCTATGTATCACTTCAATTTAAAATCTCAAATGTGTGATTTGGATACCAGAATACAAACTTGGTTTATTGACTCAGTTTTAAGATGTTCTTGTTGGATCTCTGTTTGTTAGAAACTTTTGAAGTGTAAACATAAGACAGAGACCCAAGAAGAGCATCTGAGAAATCAACGGTCAAAAAATGAAGTTTATATTCTAGTATCCAAGTCACAACGATCTGATACACAATATAACCATATCAAAGGCAATACACTCAGATCACAACATAATAGAGGTACAAACATGTATGCACAGGGCTCCTGACCATCAAAATGTGAGCAGTCATGAAGGTCTCTTCACAATTGTATATATTTCTAGACAATAGAAAATGACCAGGGCGGATGAAAATGCTCACTTGTCAGTGTGTCGAATCGAAGAAGACGACGAGAGCTGTCGTGAGATGGGAAGGAAGAAGGATAAGGAAGGATGGAAATAACTGGAAAAGGATGGGAAGGAGGGGAAGAGGAGGAATCAAGGCAAGTAGCCCAACCACTTTGGGACATGGGGTACCGAAGTACTAGAGGTGTAGATGGAGAGGCTTGAATGATGTCGTTACTTGGCTGTCTAGGAGAGGATGGTGAAGGCAGCAGCAGGAGCTGAGAGTGTCAGTAGGCAGCAAGCAGGATCAGTTAGTTATTCTCTTGATCTGGTTGTCAATGCTTTGAATTTTGTTCTAGAGAGTTGTCACACACACATGGGAGAGCTGTAGAAGAGTTCGTTGGTTTGGAGTTGGTGGATTATCTGGTTGACGGTAGGGAATGGCTTTTCGTCGGTTGTGTACATTGCAGTGTTGTCTTAGAGATGTTGGATGAGTTCTAGGCGAGTCATTGGGCTGGGGTATTGTGTCGTGGTGAAGAACATGAGTCCTTTGTGTTTAACCCATAGTGTTCCAGGTAATCGACGTGAGGGAGGTCGAGAAGGCGGTGGTGGAGTTGAGGAAGATGGTGTTGAGTCAGTGTGATTGTTACAATTTGAGTACAATTTCAGTACATAAGATAAGTGTCTGAACAAAGATTGGCTATGTAATCACAAGAACTATTATAAATTGTAATTATCAGAACATAAAAATTATACAAATTAAAATAAAAATGGGAAAAAAAGGCAAATTGGCAACACTTCTCCAAGCGGCAGGACTGGATGTTGCCATCAGGTGAGCATCCAGAGCCAACTTCACGGTCTTATAACTTGGAAAGTACTGATCGTAAAAAAAAAAAAATTCTTATACTACACAGAAAATATTCCTCTTTAATTTAAAATAAAAAAAGCTATTTTTTTATTTTTCAAAATATTCAGAGCGCCATGCAGACAAACGTAGATCTACGTATGGACAGTTTAAGGGTTACGCAAACAATACTTCAGCTGGCCAGGAATCAAAGCCCTGATACTCGGCCAGCCTATCGAGTAGCTTGCCAAAATTCCAAGATACTCTGGGGTTCGATTCCCGGCCAGTCGCAGTATTGTTATTGGCTTAAAAACACTTGTATGTGGAGGCATAAATATGTGCACTGCTCGTAAAAACTGGTATTCCAAACAGGAGAAGAAATTATTAGTAGTGTATTTTCTGTGGCCACATATGTATACGCTTGCATCAGGGGTGACATATCCAGTATACGTATGTGTAAATATCAGAATACAGCGGAATCTCGGCTTACGAATTTAATCCGTTCCGTGACCTTGTTTGTATCCTGATTTGTTCGTGTGCTGAGTCAATTTTCTTCATTTAAATTAATTGCATTGCAATTAATCCGTTCCAGCCTCTCAGGAGGTATGACAAAATAATGCTAATATCAACTCTACAGCTTAGTTATCTATTACAATTCATCTAATATGACATAATAAACAATATTAATAACATAGAAACATGATACAGTGGCCTCTCAATAATCGTCCAGCCCACAAGTCGTCCATTTCGGAAATAGTCCCGTTATTTCGTCTAAACATTGGCTCGCAAATGGTCCATTAACTCGCTAATCGTCCTTCGTCTGGGACGCGTACTCACGCCCTGAGCCGCCTGGGCCTGCCTTCCCAGCCAGTGTGCCATTGTTTACCAGTGAGCAACGGTCCCCTCACTTGCTCCTATGAAATATTTCACAATATTCCATTGATTTTAGTGCTTGCAAGTGCAAAATAAGCTACCATGGCTCCAAAGAAAGCTTCTAGTGCCATCCCTTTGGTAAAGAATGTGAGAAACACATATAATTTATGAAAAAGTTTGTAGAAAAATACAAAGGTGGTGGTGGTAGAGTGGAAGCAGTTGTGATAGTGGTAGTGATGGTGGTAGAAGGTAGTAGTGATGGTGGTAACAGTTGTAATAGTGGTAGAAGGTGGTAGTGATGGTGGTAGAGGCTTCCTTTCTTTAGTGATTCAGCGATTCTACCAACTCCTCCAATGTTGTTGGAGTTATATAGGGCTACAGAAAACACCACCGCCTCAGCTGCTGCTTCACCACCATTATGGACGGCTTGCTCTCGGTGGCCCTTATATAAATACCCAACAACAACACAACACCTCTCGTGACATACGTAATGACTTATTTTATTCATTCTAGAGTATATTCCTTGTTTCTATGTTATTAATATTGTTTATTATGTCATATTAGTTGAATTGTGATAGATAAATAAGCCGTAGAGTTGATATTAGTGTCATATTCTCCAACAATAAACTTGCCATCCTTCCCTCACACAAACAAGTCTCCAATAAGAACATAAGAAAGGAGGAGCACTGCAGTAGGCCTGCTGGCCCATACAAGGCCGGTCCTTCACAAATCCAACCCACTAACAGAACAAATACTACCCAAGCAATAAGCTCAGGTGCAAGTCCGACTCAAATCTAACCCCTCTCACTCGTGTATTTAACCAACCTAAATTTGAAACTACTCAAGCCATAGCATTTAGAACATAAGAAAGGAGGAACACTGCAATAAGCCTGTTGGCCCATACTAGGCCAGTTCTTCACAAATTCAACCCACTAACAGAACAAATGTTACCCAAGCAACAAGCTCAGGTGCAAATCCGACTCAAATCCAAACCCCTCTCACTACAAGAGTGTATCAGTCTGTAGTGGAAGGAAGGCAGGGTAGGGGTCGGCCTAGGAAAGGCTGGAGGGAGGGGGTAAAGGAGGTTTTGTGTGCGAGGGGCTTGGACTTCCAGCAGGCATGCGTGAGCGTGTTTGATAGGAGTGAATGGAGACAAATGGTTTTTAATACTTGACGTGCTGTTGGAGTGTGAGCAAAGTAACATTTATGAAGGGGTTCAGGGAAACCGGCAGGCCGGACTTGAGTCCTGGAGATGGGAAGTACAGTGCTTGCACTCTGAAGGAGGGGTGTTAATGTTGCAGTTTAAAAACTGTAGTGTAAAGCACCCTTCTGGCAAGACAGTGATGGAGTGAATGATGGTGAAAGTTTTTCTTTTTCAGGCCACCCTGCCTTGGTGGGAATCGGCCATTGTGATAATAATAAAAAAATAAATTTGAAACTACCCAATGTTTTAGCTTCAATCACCCTAATAGGCAGACCATTCCACTCATCAACTACCCTTATTACCAATGTTCATTTATACATTTTATTAGTGCTTTACATTTATTTGGCATTTTTTTTATGCATGTAAATCTATATTTATGCTAGAGAAGTGACCCCTGAAGTGACCTAGAGTCCTTATGGAGGGGGAGTCCCCTTCCAAACAATAACCTCTCTTCCCTCTCTCCTCCTCCCTGTCTTCCATTCATCAACAACAGCCTTCAATAAAGGTAACTGTCATGTTGAATGTTCATTCTTTTGTGCATGTAAATCTATCTTTTAGGTAAAAAAAAAATTGTTGATACTTCTGGGTGTCTGGAACGAATTAATTGGATTTACATTATTTCTTATGGGGAAAATTGATTCGAAAATCGTCTATTTCGATAATAGTCCCACTTCCAGGAATGGATTAAGGATGATAATTAAGGGACCACTGTATATACTCTAGAATGAATAAAATAGGCCATAATATGGCAAGTGATGGCGATGCCGGCAGCGGCAGAAAGCATCTGCCGTTTACTCTCCCACTGAATCTTCCCTGTCCATAACCCCACACCTAGCTTGTGTTTATCTATGATTAGTGGTGAGGTTGTCACACATGTAACCACAGGTGTGGTCAAGACAG